GAGCAGATGGCTGTGACCTGCACAGCTGAGGGGTTGCCTGTGGCATTCACATTCTCTGAAAAATCCCTTTGTCCGGGATTGTTCTCCTGGGAAGCTGAGGAGCCTCAGAGAAAAGGAAAACCATTCCTATCTCATTTGCTTCTCCTGTGTTGTGCTCATGTGGAATGTGTTTGGAGATTGTTTACCCACAGGTGATTGTTCCATTGGATTCTGCTGGGAGTTGTTTTCACTCTTTGGCCAATCAGGGCCAGGCTGTGTCAGGACTCTGGAGAGAGTCATGAGTTTTCATTGTTATTGTTTTAGCCTTGAGTAAGTATGCTTTCTGTATTCTTTAGTATAGTACAGTATTCTTTAATATAATATAGTACCATAAAGTAATAAATTAGCCTTCTGAGAGCATGGAGTCATGCATGATTCCTCCCTGCCATGGGGATCCCTGCAAATACAATATGTGGCCCCCCTCTCTTCTGAGGGCCTGTGGAAAGGCAGAGGAATCCTCAGCCACATCAGGACGTTTGGATCACTCAAGCTTCACAAGCCCACATAAATTACTGATTTTTCTAGTCACACATTTCCTTTCCCCCTGCCTTTTTCCTGTGCTGTTTTACCTTTGGCTCCCTCAGTTACTGGGTTTGGGTTGCTCTGAGCATCTCCTTGCTTTTGGAATGCTGTGGAGAGCTCCACCTCACTTGGCTGTGCTGTGAAAGGGAACCAGATGACAAATGTGACCATTCATGGTGTACAAAATGTGCTCCAAATCCCACTGATGCTTCTGCCTCAGCTTCAAACCTAAATACTGTGTGTGATCATGTGCCTTAATGAGATGGGTTTGAACCAAAACACCCCAAGTTTGCCTGCGCATACAGAAAGGACACCCACCAGTTTGGGGGGTCCAAACAAAACTTCTGACCCTGGGGCTGTGCTCCTGGTGCTGCCCAGCACTCAGCTGGGGGAGGATTTGCCTCTGGAAATCATCTTTTCTTTTCCTGTAAATGGAGGCTGTGGAAAATCTCCTGTGGTAGGTGAATTAACAAGATTGGTGCTGTGGAAATTTGGCCAAAAGCCCTTAAAGCTGGCTCTGAGCAAAGGCAGGGGTCTCAGGCTGGCAGGGGATCACAGCCCACGCAGGGATCATCCACTCCTGATGGCTGCTGCTGTTTCCAGTGTTAACACAGACCTCTGCCAGAGCTTGTAGGGAGGTGAGAGGAGAGAAGAAATCCATTTCCATCTGCTGTGCTGATGTCTTTCACCTCTGCAGCAGTAATTTTTCTCATTTCTAAGAGGACCTGGAAGGTGCTAGAGGAGTCAGTGAGGGCTTTGTGAGGTGCAAGGGAGTAGCTCCCTCGCTCAGATACCCTTTGAAGTGCCCAGAGCGTCCTCTCAAGGGTGAACCTCATGATTTAAGATCAAAATTTAAATCTCAGTTCAGTCCCTCACTTGCTCTTATAGACATAGAGGATTGTAAGGAAATGACTTGAAGTCACGAAAAGGGGTTAATGCTTAATCTCAAATGCCAGAATATTAAAATAATTCATCCTGGTTGTTTGCAAAGGCTGGAGCACTGAGTGCAGGCACGATGCAGCACTGCTGGGTTCTAGGTCTGGCCTCATTCTTCTCAGACCCTGTGTCTTAGGTTGGAAGATGTGGCTGGGGTGTGTGTTCTGTCCCCATCTGTCAGAGCTGGGCAGTTCTCTGCTGTTCATGGGGCAGTTTTCTTCCAGGGCATGTTCTGGCTCTGGCAGTGGGGTTTTGTATTACTGCATTTTTATTTTTATATTTTCTTTTAATTATTTTTTTCTTAATAAAGAACTGTTATTCCTAGTCCCATACCTTTGCCTGAGAGCCTCTTAATTTCAAAATTGTAACAATTCAGAGGAAGGGGGTTTACATTTTCCTTTTCAAGGGAGTCTCCTGCCTTCCTCAGCAGACACGTGTCTGTTCAAAACAAGACACCCTGAGTTCCCTGCAACACAGCCAGGGTGCTTCCAGGCCTGGGGGCTCCCTGTGCAGGGATGTCCTCGGGGGTTCTGAATCTGCACAGCCCATCTGTCAGTGAGAATGGTCATTACAGCATCTCAGCACCACTGATGGTCACACTGGTTTGGTTCCCCTCCTTCTGCACCTTGCACTGATTCTTTAATCAGTAATGACTGTGGTGAGAGTGTGTTCTTCTCACTGAGGGTGGAGCTCTTCTCAGTTATTCTTATCTGGGAATGCACACAAGGGAGCACCAGGGAGAGCCAGGGGAGAAGGACAGTGGAGCTCAGCCTGCAGGGCACAGCTGCTCCCTGGTGTCCCTGCCAGGCTCTGCCTCCCTCACTGCCTGTGCTTGGACACTTCCGAGGTTTGGGAGCACCTGCGGGGGAATATTGGCACTACAGGAGAAAAAAAAATATCACAGCTGCCTTGTTTTCAACCAGAAAAATCCTCAGTGTGCTCATCAGGTGGGTGAGTGCTGTTGGACAAATCATGCTGTGGCACACCCAGCCCAAGGACACCAACCCTGCAGCTCTCTGGACAGGCAGTGCCCCTCTTTGAGCAAATCCTCCAGGGAATCCCAGTATCCCAAAGAGGGGAAGTGTCACCCGTTGTTCCAGAGGCAGCACCTGGGCTCTGGCCCTCCTTCACATGTGCTTTGTATTCATGAGATGCCTTAGGGTTTTAGCTTGTATGTTTTTCATATATTTGTAATCCTGCAGTTCTTTATTGTATAACTCTAAACTCCATACACATTGTGAACTGCTGCTTTCCCATTTTGGGCAGACACAACAATTCCTCTCCAGGCCTGGCAATCAAGGACACCTCACTACAGACCCCCAGAGATGGAAACAAAAGTGAGTTGGGGGGGCCAACTTGGGGTACATGACTTCATTACCTGAAGCTGTAATTGAAAGATGAACCCCCAATATGCAAATGGTCCAAACTTATAAAAGTGTGAAACCCCTTGATCCATCATCCATTTTTGGGTGTAGATCTGGGGGGCTTTGTCTGCCTGAAAAGTACCTGAAGGCCATTCAACTGCTTTTTATTCCCTTAATTTTGTCTGGCCTGTGTTTCCAGGTAGTCCCCACAAGGCATCACACGTAGGGATCAGATCTTGCACAGAAGGAAGAGTCCTTCCTGCAGCTCTGAGCAGGGAGCTGCAGCAGAGAGAGCCACGAGCATCCTGAATGGGCAGAGCTCCTGCTGCCGTCCAAGAGGGGAAATACAGAAACATCCCCAGCGCATTTTCACTGGGACTGAACTCAGCTGAAGCCAGGAAAGCCAATTCCTTGGTTTTCCTGAGCGTGGGTGGAGTGACCCGAGGTGATTTCCCTCTTTGCTCACTGACCTGCATGGCCTCTGCTGCTCTTCTGGGCTCAGCTGTCTCAGGACTGATTTTCTCTTCCCTGGTGGCTGAGGTGTTCCAGTGCTTAGGCTGTCATGATTCCTGCCTTTGGGAATGTGTCTGTCTCACAGGCCCAGCCTCAGGTGATGGTGGCTATTCAGGCTGTCCAGATTAGTGCTGGAGGAGCAGTGTAATCACCCCTTCCCCTTCCTGCCCAGAAGGGAATTGCTGGAACACAGAGCTGTCCTCCCCCAGTTTCTCCTGCCCGTGCTGGACGAAGCTGTTTCCTGCACTGGAAACTGCTGCACTGGCTAATTGATGTAAGGAAATTAACATGGAACACATCAAAGGCCTCCTTGCTGCACTTTTTTTTCCTTTTCCATAACACATGAGGGACCAAGGGGGCAGAGGGCTGCTGGAAACCATGCCAAGGTGTTGGCTTTTCCTGCCCTGCCTGTGATTACTGCTCCAGGTAGATTCACCCTGATGTGACTCAACCCAGGGCAGGAGTCTGTGCAGAAAAGCAGAATATTGAGCCTTGCACTGATCTGCTTGGCTGAATAATTTGAAGGCAGACCCTCAGATTCATTTGTCAAGGAGATAATAGAAGAGTAGGTTGTCTGTGAATTAAAGGGAAAAATCCCCAACCACAGTGTAATACAGTGACACAAAAGCTGGGATCAATTGTGTTTGCACTGTGACAAGTCATGTGAGCGGGCTCAGCCAGCCTTGTCAATGACCCTAACTAATGACCATCTAACCCCTGTGCTCACAAAATGATTTATCTGCTTCCAGCAAGCATTTTTAAGGTTGCACATGCTGTTCTAAAACCTGGGAGCAGAATGGTTGTCTGCTGCAGGGTCCATGACTGTGCCTGTGTGCTGGCTGTTTCCAGCTGCAGTCTGGGATGCTGACTGTGTCTGACCAGGTGGTTTGCCCAGACAGGCACTGGGATGCACAAGACACATGATGGACTTTGGACCTGGTTAGCATAAGAGATTTGATAGTAGGATGCCTTGGCAAGAGCAAACAGAACTTTGAGGATTAAATCAAGATTGCAAGAAGATCCAATCAGACAGGTTTACTGGAAAAAGATTACATCAGACTTCTGCAAGCAAGAAATGTTTAGAATGTATAAGTGTGTTAATGTGATTTTTAACCCAATCATTGTAGCAAAACATTACTACCCTCCCTAAAATACTATATAAGCAGTTGTACTTCACAATAAATTCAGATTTTTTGACCATCACACCGTGTCCCCATCTCTCTCTCTCTTCCTTGCCAATAGACAGGTCCTTACAGGGCATCTTCCCACAGCACCCCTGGGGCTGTGCAAGGTGCTGAAACACAGGAAGGGCCAGGGAGAGCCCTTCATTCTTCAGGACATGAAGAATGGGGTGAGCCAGTGCTGGCTGCCAAGTCCTGCTACCAGAAGAAACCCTAAGCTCCTCTTTCTTGGCAGTCCATTGATTGTCTGCATTGCCAAAGCTGTCTTGAGGGTCCACGTGCACTGTTTCTGCTGGCTGGGGGGTTTGCAGAAGTTACAGACACCACCGAGCTTCTCAAAGCAGCCAGGAGCTTTGGATGAGGATGAATCCAGCCTCCCTGCACTGCCAGCTGCACGCTCCAGGGGTTTGCCCTGGGCAAGGAGCACTGGAACAGGTACCCTGACAGCCTCTGCCCCTGCTCTGGCTGCCAGGCCCTCCAAGGGCTCTGGGCCCTGCAGAGCCAGAGGCAGATTTGCTGTTCTGCTCCTCACAGCTTGCCCAGCCTGGCCTCCCAGGCTCTGCTTCCCTCTGTCATTTCCAAACCTTCGTGGATTCTGTCACTCTCCCGCAGTGATCTGAGCTGAGGGACGTGCCAGCTCCTCTGCTGTGGCACAGAGCAAGGTGCTGTGAGCCCCTCTGGAGCTGCACCCTCAGCTGCAGGAGCAGCAGCACACCCTCCAGCCCTGCTAACAAAGCCAAGGCATCCCAAAGCATCCCTGCTCCTGCAGCAAACCCAGATGGCAGATTCCTGCCTTTCAGGGGTGGGACTGGGCACGGGGGGCACAGCCACCTCCTGCCATGCCTGGGGCACTGTGGTGAAGCCAAGGCAGCAGAGATGAAGCCCCCGAGCCAGCTGTCAGCCAGGGCACAGCTGCATCATGTGCCCGTGTCCCCAGGAAAGCTGCAGCCTCCTTTGGCTTCTGCCTGGAGAGCTCTGAAACCTGTGTCAAAGCAGGAGGACTTCTCAGAAATGAGATGATTAAGACTAAAGCTCAAGGTGATTGGAAACGTAGATAGTCCTCATTTTCTAATAGTTGTTTTCAGAATTCAGATTCCTTGTTGGCAGTGTGCTGTAATACATCCCAGCTCCTGTGCTGCTCATTTTAAACTGCTCAGAGCAAGCCCTTCCCTCTGGCCATTCCCTGCCAGCCTCAAACAAGACATGGGAGGAAAAGCAGATCTGCTCCTAGAGCTGAAAATTCTCTTCAAATTTAAGGAAACTGTGACCTTGAAGCAATACAGTGGGAATGGAGCCTGGACTGACTTGCCAGAGTTAAGGCACCCCTGCAAATCTCTCGTGGTGACAATCAGGTCAGAAATCAGAGCATGAAAATACAAATGTTAAGTGAAAGGATACAATTTTTCATGCCTGGCTGAAACCAAGCACCCTGATCTCCCAGCAGTTTTACTCCTGTAAGTGGTGCAGATAATCTCACTTACAGGCAGATATCCATGGCAGGAGCTGAAAGCACCATTAAAGGCTCACACAGTGTTGCCTACAATTTAGGGTCCACCAAAAGCATAAACATCTGTCGTTCAGTTCCTTAAATATTAAGCTGGCATGTGAAGCTTATTTTTGTTCATTTTTTTTCCCTCTCTCTCCCACACACCCCAGGGATTTTGCTGCTTCTGCACCTTGCTGCCCTGGGGACCCTGGCAGCAGCCTGGGTCAGGAACAGGCACAGCACTGGGCATGGGAGGCAGCAGAGAGGCTCTGGGGCTTCTGCCCCTGCACCTCCCCTCCCTCCTGGCTTCCCAAAAGAGCCCAGGTGCATCCACAGGACCATCCAGTTCTGACTTTCCCTCTTTGATAAAAATACCCCTTCCTGGAAAGATAATTACGATCCAGACTGAAAAATTTTTGTATTATTTTCCCATGTTTTGTGGTTTCTGCAGGACCAGGGAGCACAGGAAAGACAGCTCCTGACCTTTAGAGTTGTCACCCATCTGACAGGGAGGGTGAGAGCCCCTGCCACCACCCTGTCCCTCTTCCATGCCACTGTGGTCCCTGGTGGAGCAGTTCCCTTCCCTGCAGAGATCCCATTTGTCACTGCAGTCACCGAGGGCTCTGTGCTGCCACCCACCCTGCTCCATGTCCACAGCTTTGCTGAGGACAGGCAACTCTCCTGAGGCCAAATGCAGCATTTCATGTGATGGCTGCATTGGTGGGAAGAGGATTTAATGTAAAAACCTCCAGCCTGCAGTGCTGCTGCAGCTCCAGCAGAAATAAATGTTCTGCTGGCACTGGAGAGGGCAGAGCAGAGCTTGTCCCAGCTCTGGGGATCACTCTGACACATCACACAGAACATTCTGACAGGAAAGCAGGTTTGTTTGCTGTTTCTTGCCCTTGGAGGAACTTTGGAGAGGAAGAGCCTCTCTTGCAGGCAGGACCTGCTCCAGCCCCAGCTGCTGTGAACACCTTGCAACAAGCAGCGCCTCTCAAACAGTATTTTTAGCCTTAAAAGATGCAAAACCACTGAATTCCTGTGAAATGCAGTCCTTGCCTGTGCTCAGGAGACTGGCCTATGGTGGTGCAGGAGAAGCAGCTGTTCCCAGCACAGGGTGAGCTGGCTTTTGTGGGGAAAGAAAGGTGTTTGTAACAGGACAATGGGCTGGGGGTGTATGAGGATTAATTTAAACATCTCCACTGATTTAATCTGCTTCTCCCTAAAGTCCCTGAGCAATAATAGGCTTAAATTAAAGTTTACATCTGCAAATGTGGCTCACAGAGTGATCTTTATCTAATTCCATCTTATCTTTCAGGTGCTCCCTGCATGAGGTTTGGAAAAATGATGGAGGTGGAGCCAGCCTGGGGTGGCTCCCAGGGTGCAGGGACCCAGTGTGGAGGTGCTTAGGGGGTGAATGATCCCTTTGTGCTGGGAGAGTCCTTGCCTGTCACAGACTGGTCCCCAAGGGGGCTGCCCTGCTCTCAGTGTCTCCCAGCATCTCCGTGCCATGAGCAGCCAGTGCTGGTCCATCACTCGTGGCTAAAGTCAGATTTCTTCACACAGGAGGAAAAACCTCTGCACTGGCACTTCCAGGCACCTGACAGTGCTGCCCTGATGGTGTTTGGTACCAAATGTTCCACTGGAATGGCAATATTTAGAGCTACTATTCCTTATCTTGGCAAAAAAAAGCTCATGGCCTGTTGGAACCCTGGTTACTGAGAATTTTAAACTTTCTGTGCTGCCAGGCACTGACCCCCAGGAGAGCACTGCATTGACCTGAGGCGCCTGACAGTGCTGCCCTGATGGTGGTTGGTACCAAATGTTCCACTGGGATAGCAGTTCTTATCTTGGCAAAAAAAAACTCATGTTCCTTATCTTGGCAAAAAAAAAGCTCATGGCCTGTTGGAACCCTGGTTACTGAGAATTTTAAACTTTATGTGCTGCCAGGCACTGACCCCCAGGAGAGCACTGCATTGACCTATCCACATTGCAGGCACAGGTGGTTGGTTATTGGGTTAGAGGTAAAAATAATGTAGGTGTCATTTCATAATTGGACACTTTATCCTTAAAAGACCTTACAGAGAGAGAGAGAGAAGCTCCATTTTTAGTTTGTTAAAGTGCTGCGCTGCCGAGAGAGAAGCTCCATTTTTAGTTTGTTAGAGTGAAGTGCTGCAGAACTCAGGGTTTGTGAGACTGTAACATGGATAAGAACAAATAAACATCCGAGTCCAAACAATAAATTCCATCTCACACATTTAATCCTGACCTTGGCAGAAAATAAGTTAAGACTCAACGATGATCATTTATGGACTGGCTTTGCTTTGTGTCCAGGTTTATCTGCCTCATGTCACGGGTCTGTCTTGCAGTTTGTATTTGTTAAGTTCCTGCTTTGCCTGATCCCACCAGCAGCTTGGTTACATGTGACTATTTTCTTAGCAGCCTTTTTTGCAGGCTTCACTCTCCTGCTCTCACAAGAGAAGCACTGATCTTCAGAAGTCACTGCTCCCACACTCTGCACTGGCCATGCAGCTGCTGGACCTGCTGATAATGCTCACCTCTCTCCACAACATTCCTGCAGATTTAAATCCTAGGACCAATCTCATCGAGGTAGGTAAATCTTTCCTAGTTTTAGTTAGGGGTAATTTGAAGTATCTAGAGTGCTCTGGCAAACTTTCCTCATCTGTGATGCTGCCATAGGAGCCTCTGATGCCTCAGGATTTTAGCTTTTATTTTTCAGATCCTGTACTACATTAGTGCATAACTCCAAACTCCATATAAAGTGTTATTTAACTGTCTTCACATTTTAGTCAGACAAAACAATTCTTCTGGGCCTGGGAACTCAAGGACACCCTACAGCCTCAGGCTCTGAAAAGTATTTTTAAAAAGTGAATTGGGGGGAGAAAACTGGGGGTAAATTACTTCATTACCTGAAGCTGTAATTGGAGAATTAACCCCTGATGTGTAAATGGACCAAACTTAGAATTGTCTGAAAAACTGGTGCCTGTTGTCCACCTTGGGTGCAGCCTCTGGGAGGCTGTGACTGCCCAAGGTGAGGCTGTTGAAGGCCTTGAATAAATACCCACTTTTTTCTCTTGTCTAGCCTCTGTTCTAGGCAGCCCCTCCAAGGCATCCCCTCCAGCTGTGCACACCTGAGGATGACTTTCAAAGCCCTGGTAGGCTGGAGCCTGTCACCAGGACAGCCACAGGAGAGGCATTTCCAGGGGAGGCAGCACATCTGAGAGCAGCAGAGTTCTAAAGGTGGAAAATGGGGATCATGGGCTTCTGCCTGGTTTGGGGTCACAGCCAAAAGGCAGCTGAGGGATCAACTTACCTGTCTGACAGCACAGAGCAGCTTCCCATAGGAACAGACAATGGCAAACGGGATTACGAGGCAAAAGATGAAAAGATAGATGATGTAGGAGGTGTTGTTGGCATCCTTGGAATGCCAGTTCACAGAGCAGGTTATCCCTGCTCCTTCTGGCCCGTAGCTGCTCCAGCCAAGAAGAGGAGGAACAGTCCAGAGCAGGGAGTAAGTCCAGGACAGGAGGATGGCTGCCCATGCTTTCCTGTAGTTGGTGGTGTCAGGCTCTGCTGTCCTCGTCACGGTGCAGCAGCGCTCGTACGAGAGCACAGCCAGGGACATGAGGGAGATGATGCCTGTGTCAAACCAGACCCTCGTATCAGCAAAAAGTGAATGAGTGAAGGCTTTGCTCTGCCTCCCAAAAAATATTGCAAGCTGTGGATGAGACCGATGGCACTGGCTTTGGAAACAAGGCAGGCAAGGACTGGGACTGGAGGTGTCCCCCTGAGGGCAAGAGGTGCTGAGAGCCTGGCCCCACTCACCAAGAGCTGGGGGTGCTTAAACACGTGTCCAGCCAAAGCCAGTCACTAATAAATGCTCATCAATACTTGAGCACACCTGTCTGAATGGATATATGTGTGTGTGACCTGCAGCAAAATCCTGCCTTCTCCATCAGATTTGGTTCTTGCTGCGCCTGTAAAATTCGAGATTAATATCTAGACTTGCCCAAAGTGTGGAGCTGATCTGGTGCTCCTCTGCCAGCTCTGCAGCCTTCTGAGCCCTTCTTGGCAAAGTGCAGCCCCACAGGGTTTCATAAGGGTTTCATGCTGTGCATAATGAAGAGCTGTAGATGAAACCCATGTCCTGAAGCCCCCGTGCCAGCAAGTGCCCCCTTGGGGAGCAGGCAGCTCGTGAGCCTTTGCAGGGACAGTGCTGGGTCTCCTGCAATTGGGGTTCTGCCAGCAGACACCAAGGGGGCAATAAAACCACCAGCAGCAAATCAAAAGCTTCTTTAGCATGCAGAAATGCTGGGGGGAGGTAATTTCTAAAGCTGCTATAAGAGTTTTCAATTTCCCTCCACACACCTCCCAGGCTGCATTGTGGAAGCGATGCTGGCAGTACAATGCTGGATGCTGACACACTCCTGCTAAACTTTCCTTGCCAAGTAAAGGTTTTACATGCACAAATTTGGCTTTTTACCCTGTGTAACTTCATGAGGGAAAGAGATGGCAGCAAACAGCTGCTGCAAATATCTCTTCAGAGTGTGCATATGCAGTGTCAGTATCTCCTAAGTGGCTGTGGGAAGCCTGGATGCCAGGCTAAGCTGAGTTCCTGGGATCAGAGGGATGCTCTGCTGGCACAGCCTCTGCTCCATGTGAATGCTGGCTGGGGAGAGCCCCACTGATGCGTGCCAGTGTGTGCAGTGGAACAACAGGCTGGGAGAGATGGTCAGCGCTGGGAAGGCTGAGAACACGAGCTGCTGTTCTGTGTAACACGATACACACTGCACCTGCCAGCCCCACAGCCCCCCTGCGTGCCCAGCTGCCAGCTGCGGACAGGGCTGGCTAAAGGTGCCAGGGCTGCTCTTTCTGCCGGCCTGTCCTCCCGCTGGGAGCTGGGCTCAGGGCTAGAAGCCAGCAGATTTCCAAGGAATCGCGGCTGTGGGGGCTCAGGGCTGCCCGCGCTGAGATGGGGCACTCAGGGACAGGTTTAGTGGTGGGCTTGCCAGTGCTGCGGCAGTAACTAAACTCGATGAGCTTAAAGGTCTTTTATAAACTAAACGAGGCTGATTCTGCCCCGTTTTCATCCTTTAAAGTTTATAAAGCTCTTCCTCATCCGCTGGAAACACGCTGTGGAGCCTGAATGAGGACTCACACCTATCGCTGCCTGGGCTTTTCCCAGCAGAACAACCGCAAAGCTGGGGAAGTTTCCCACCACAGCTGGGGAAGCCTGCCCCCAGCGCTGTGCTCCTGGCGTGCCCGGTGTCCCCTCCCCAGGCGCAGCCCGAGCTCCATCACAACCCCCGGACCCGAACCCACTGCCCCTGAGGGGGTCCCTGCCCTCCCGTGTCCCCCGGCGCTGCCGAGGCTCTTCCATTCTCTCCTTTGAGCTGCCAGGATTGTCCCATCCCCTCTGAAGTGCCTTAAAATCTAAGTTCTGGTTATATCCCACCCTCCAGCAAGGAGAGCACTCTCAGACATTTTAATGTATTGATGCGCTGACCTAAGAGGGGAAAAAACCCACCTTCATTGTTCTACTCACAAGGGAATTTTTCTCTGTGTTTGCAAATAAAAAGTGAATTTGTCCAGTTTCCTGCAGCATGGTTGCTATGAGCAATCAGTACTGAAAAGGTGAGTGTGAAGCCTGGCATCCCCCCTCTTTTTTTCCCCCTCTTTTTATCAGTTGTTCATTATGAGGAGGAGGCAGTTCAGAGTATTTCTGCTTGTAATGACATTCAATATGTTTTTTTTAAAAAAAAAAAACAAAACCCCTGCACTTTGGGAAATCTGGCTATTTCTTGCCTTCCCTCTGGACTGCTAAGGGGATGGACAGGGTCCGGCATGATGCTGTTATTTATCAACATTTCTGAAGACTAAGAATGTAACTGGGCAGGGTAGCTCAAGAGGTCAGTCACCTGAAACTCTGCACTTTAGGTAAAAAATAAGGATGGAAAAACAGACCCTTCAGCAACTTTGCTGCACTGCTCTGGACGTGCCCTTCAATGTCTTTCATGGAGTGAGGGGCCCAGAACTGACACAGGATTTAGTGAGGGGCCCAGAACTGGGCTCAGGATTTGAGGTGCATCCATCCAGGTAGTTTTTAATGCAGTGAAGAACGTGCCTGTCCAAGCTGTGGGCTGCCAGTTTTCCCAGCAGAACGCTGTGGGATGTTTCAGACCATTTACTGAAAATGTGTCAAGAAGTCGTTTTCATAAGGCAAAATTGGTTTGATCACTTGGAAAATCGTATCACTTACTATTTGTTGTGGTGGCAAAAGGACTTGCCAACTCATTTGGGGGAAAGGTGCTACAGTGTAGTACCTCTGTCTCCTTGATCATCTGGGAACTTGGCTGGAATTGCCCAGCTGCTGCTGAAACTGATTTCTCCTGTGAAAAAAAGGGATAGGAATTGCCTAAACCCAAATGTAGAATCCGAAGCGATTTAGTGACGTTTCCCTCGATTTTAGCAACGGCCACAAGATGGCACAGGGCCGCTCCGAGCAGGATGGGACGTGGATCCCTGGGGAAAGGGTTTTCCAGGACGCCTGGAGCAATGGCTGGGCTCAGCGCTGGAAATGAGCCGCGGGCACACGATGCCCGTGGGCCGTGCCCTCAAGCCGCGTGTGCGACAGCCGGACCCAGGGTCACCTGTGTGTTTGTGAGGGTCCCAGGACGAGGGAAGAGATGAATCTGCCTCCATGTTCTCAGGAGGCTGATATATTATATAGAGATATTATATTAAAGAATGCTATACTAAAACTATACTAAACTATAGAGAAGGGATACATCAGAAGGCTTGACAAGAATGAATAATAAAAACTCGTGACTCATTCCTCAGAGTCCAACACAGCTGGACTGGAATTGGTCATTAAGTAAAAGGGGCTCTGGTGTGGCGGCCCAGCTCCCTGCCGGGCCGGGCAAATTCCCTGCCGGGCCGGGGGCGTTCCCTGCCGGGCCGGGCGCGTTCCCTGCCGGGCCGGGCGCTGCCCGCGCTGTCCCGGCGGTGCAGGGGACGGGACAGGCGGGGACAGGGCAGGGCTGTGCTGGGGCTGGCAGCAGCAGGGCGCTGCCGGGCTCGGTGCGGAGCCCAGGGCAGGACAGGACGGGCGCTCCTGGCAGGGGCAGCGCTGGGCGCGGTGTCCGCAGCTTTGCTGCTGTGCCTCGCTGCTGGCTACCGAGTGCCAGCGTCCAAACTCATTTCCCGCACAAAGATTTCCATAACGGCTGGAAAGGGGCAGGAAAGAGACACGGATAATTCCCTCTGGCTCGCAGCACTCTATGGGTTGTGCTGTCCTGTAAATCCCTTGTCTCGATGAGGAAATCCCACCAGCCACAGCCACCAGTGGCACTGAAGTCAACAGTGTTGTGGCAAATTATCTAAACTCTCTTAGTAATGATAAGAGAAGTAATAATCCTCCTACAGGACTAATTACAGCCACAGAAATTGCGGTAATGAAAATAACTCCCTTTGCCAGCTTTCGAAAAGTTACAATTTACATGAACTAAGAGGCTTATGTAAAGAATGATTCTTATTTTGTACATGGCTCTCTGTGGCCCCATCTACTCTGATCGCAGTAAATCAGGGTGTAATTAATCACAGAGGATTAAATGTTGCAGGACAAAGACTGAAAAATTCAGTAGAAGAAAAACTCTGGTTGGTTTTGACTCAAAATAAACTTGGGTCATCTGTCCCAAAGGAGGTGACAGCTCTGCTTCCCTTGCTGCTCTCAGAAATCAATGCCAGCTCCTCTTGCTGCTCTCAGAAATCAATGTAATTCTTGTTTGAGTTTTGGGCTTGTGTTTTTTATTTCTTAAAGATTCTTAAAAAAAAAAAAAATAGAGATCTTTATAAATCCTCACGTCCTTGTAGGGCTGTAAGCCCCAGAGTGTCTCAGAGATGTACTGGCCCTGAGCTGCAGCCTTGGGTCTCCCAGCCTGGATCACACTGCTGACACGGGGTTTCAGATCTCTCTGTTGTTCTTGTGGTGTTTGTTAGTGCAGATCTGAGGTCTGTGCTCCTCTCCAGCCTTTCAGCTTCCCCAAAAGATGGGGTGTGGTGGAGCAGGTGAGCACAGCACTGTGGTCCTTGTGGAACCAGGAGACCTGCGGGATGACATGTCCTCCATGCCAGGGGAGAGGTCTGTGTGTCTCAGAGAACCTGGAAATTAAATAAAATGGACATCAAACTGTAAAAAAAGACTTTAATTTAGCACTGGGGGCAAATAGATACCCAAAAGGCAAAGAAAAAGCAAAACAAATGTATTGCTTGGGATGTTGAAGTCAGTAATGTCTGTGTGAAAGACAGCCTGGTACAGAAACAGGGTGTTCCCTGTGTGAAAATCTCCAGAGCAATAAGGGAAGGACTTTGGCTCGTTGGAGTCCTCACCGGCCTCTTCCCTCTCCCTGTGGCTCAGGCAGGTGGGTGCATGGCAGGTAAAGCTCCTGGAGCAGAGCTCGAAGGCTACAGAGGTGCTATGAAGTAGAGCCTCTGCTCACAGCAGAAAAGAAAAACAAAACAAAACAAAAAAAACCAAAAAAACAACAAGGAAAAAAAACCCACAACCAAACAAAGATAAAAAAAAATCACCCAGGAGAAAATAAGATTTAACTCTTTTAACTTTCAAGACAAAAATAATTCTGAACAGATGTATCAGTGACCAATTTCCTAGGATACATTTCTCACAGCAGGAGCTGTGAGGCATAAGCATACAAGCACTACTTGCCCAAACAAAGATTTAAAA